CACCCCTCCCGACCCCACTGAGGGACAAGGGTGTTCAGAAAATGGATGGATGGATATATATATATGTATGGGGGTACATTATGTCATAGTACCCCAAAGAATTTAAAAACTACTTTCACCCCTGGTTTTCCATGACTAAATGTTTTTCCATGTAGAATTAAACATTTTAGTTGAAACAGCAATTGACCTGGGTAGTGATGATCTGCTGTTTTAAATGTAACTTTAGATCAGTTATTGTCTACAAATGTTGCTTTCAGATGTCTCCACAGTCTGTGTCACATGTTTATTCCTTCTGAAACAAATATTAAATCATTAAACTTTTAAGAACATTCTGTTTGTAACTTTTCCACAGTTGATTGTAGCATTACATTGTCATTGACTGGAACGTTGCTCTGGAGGCTCAGCTGCTGTCAATGTTTTCATCATAACCACAAGAAGAAAGACATAAAGCAGATTTAATTGCATTGGTTTTTAACCTTTTACACTTTAGTTGAATACATGCCTCTTACAAAACAACATAGATACAGTTTGTCAAAAAAAAAAGAAAAAAAGAAAATCCTGTGAGATGGCACTTATAACGTTATAGCTGCACATGCAGCTTCAGGGCTTTGGGTGTCTTTTGGGTAGCAGCGGCACTCAGGTGGACCAGCTATCATAGCATGAGCCACTTTCGACACAGAGTTAACAGGGCAACCACAGATCATCAAGTGACATTGAAAGATGTGTGTCAGGGATGGAGAATGGAGGCACTCACTACAACATAGAGCTATACATAACATCTGGAATTTATACATCCCTACCAATAATGATACAAAGATCAAGAAACAGAGCCATAATTATACAGTAGAGGCAATATTAATAATGATTTATATGGTCTTAGGCTACAATTATGATTTTATAATTTTTTCTTTAAAAAAGGAACATTTAGTGTTATTTCTCGATGAATTGTTCTTTCTGTTCGTCTCTCTAAACAGGGAAGATAAATATTTACACTGGTTATTTTACAGCCCACCTACCATAATGTTCCTGTACTGCTGTGTAGTTAGAGAAGTCAAAGACAGGAATGATCCCAGTGAGCACAGGGAGAAAGGGAAGAGAGATGACGGCTCAACTCCAGTGAACAAGGACTCCAGAAAGTCTTACTGCTGCGTCTCAGGATTAAACTGATAAAAAGTCCTGGATTTAGTCCAATCACACTCCTGTACTCTGAGTGGGGTACGTCCACTCAGAGGACGTACCCCAGCTCCCCTCCGGTCCCCCACCGCTGTGTGTGGAACAGTGCAGTACAGTTTGGGTTTGGCTTCCTACATGAGCAGCAGCTGGCCCAGGCCCATCCTGAACTGCTGCGTGCAGCTGGCCAGCTCCTTCACCCTCTCCGTCATCTCTCTGGCTGCTCCAGCACACGGATACTGCAGCGCGGCTGTTTTCGTACTGATTACGATGTCTTTGAGTTTTTCACACAGGGTGTTGCTGCTCTGGGCCATGCGACCCCTCACCTCTGGAGACTTGGCCTGGCGTGATAGTGTGTCCCCAATGAACACCAACTTGTGCGCACTAAGGATGACAAATTTGCTGTGTGCCACAAAGATCTTTGGCGGCTGGTTGGAGTTGACGGCGGTGAAGAAGGCATCAATGGCATTGGTAACCGTGGTGATGTTCTGCTCACACTGCTCCTGGTAGAAGAGGAGGAGCTGGCGGTCACTGTGACACAGCTTGGAGGATGGGGGCTCTCCGGCGCCGTTCGTGGACAGCTGGTTGGCCAGAGGATGGTGGAGAGAAGGAACCCAGCCTGTCATGTCATTGTTTATTGGCCGGCTCACTTCCTGCTCAAGCCGCTCAAATTGTTTAATCTTAAAAAAAAAAAAAAAAAAAAAAAAAAAAAGAGCAACATTTTACCAAGGATCACAAATGATTAGACAGCCATAAACACAGAAACAGATAGGAATCAGGTAAATGTTCAAACATTTTTTTAAAGTTATGTCTCCTCAGATAATAAAAGTAATGTTTATTTATTTATTTTTCTTAAACTGAATCTAGAATTCTGAACCCAACAGGAGGCTCTGGGCTGATACGTTGTCCTGTTTTACCACCATGGCTGAAAAAATTCAAAAACTAGACAGAATTTCACTGAAATGAATCTACTGAATAAATTTCAATGTATCCACTGAATGAAAGGGATTATCATTTTACTGTCATAACTTTAGTGTATTATTGAACTTCTATATAATAGATCAACACAAAGTATTGTACAATGGTAAAGGAAGAAAGACACCTGGTGTTCAGTGACTTTTTACAAATAAAAGTGTGAATATTGGAGCATCTCCACGTGAAGGCAGTTCCCCACAGGCCTGTCACAACAGATTTTATTGGACGATAAATTGTTCCAGAAATTATTGCAATAGACAATAATTTTGTTGTTTTGCAATAATTTGGAAGTAATATAATGGTAATGGCATGATAATGCAAGAACACATTCTCAAAAATCAATAAATGTTAAATTCTAATGAACATTTAACACTGTAACTGGAAGACATTTTAAATATTGAAAATAAATTAAAACAACAGAAACAAATAAAACAAATTATAAAATCTTTGTAACTTTATAATTTGCAATGAAAACTGTCCCTCAAAAAAGGGCTTGTTAAGAATAAAGCATCGATCTGAAGACTTTTGTCATCAAGTTTTTGGTAGAAAGAGAGAAAAGAGAAAAACAATAAATCCTGCAAATGTAAATGATTGAGTTTGTTTTAATTATCATGTGATAAATTGATTTATTGATTATTGTGACAGGCCTCATTTTCCATCTGCCTTCACATGCTACCTACTGAGCAAATAGGGTCCATAAATAAATTCAGATGTTCTGTGAATGTTTGCTAGGAACATTAGAGAACAAAAATCGTCATGGAACCCAGCAGAAAGGTCAGGGGGAGAGTTGGGAAGATTAAGCCTTGATTAGGTTCTACAACAACATCCCAGAGCTCTGATCAATCTTTCACCTGGGCATGGAGAGAGGATGGACCAGCTGCTGACCTGCCAGGAAATGGACGTTCATCTGGACTGACAGACTGGACAGAGAAAGCAATGATCAGAGCAGCTGCCAAGAGTTTTGTGAGAAGTCTGGAGAAGGTGCAGAAATACACACTCCAGTGGACAGTTACTGGGTTCCAGCAGGATGGTGGCAGCCAGATCTTAGACAGCAGGGTCTTCACAGACCCTTCCCATCCAATCTGACTCAGTCTGAGCAACTTAGCAACTTAGCTGTGCTAAACTTACCAGTTTAACCAACTTGTGTTTTTACCAGAAACACAACTAAAGACTAAAAGATTCCCACAGGAAGTTGTGACTAAGTGGGACTGGATATAAATACATATCTGACCTTTGAAAGCATTTTACTTCAATTTAATCATATGCAATACTTTGTGTTGGTCTATCACATGACAAAATCTAAAATAATATAAGGGGTGTGAAGATATCTCTTTTCAGATGTAGGAAATTCTGATTATCAGCTCTTCTTTCCAGTCTTGTATAACTTAATAATGCCTTTAGATTTGTTAAACAGAGGAACACAAACCTGTTGCTGCTCTAGCTGCGTCTTGTTGTGTCTGATTATGTTGCCTTTCTCCAGGAGCTGTCTTTGATTCTTCTCAAACTCTTCTTTTCCCTTTCAAACCAAAACACACATATTACATTACTGCTTCTGCTTCCCCCTACTGGAGACTAGAAGAACTGCAATAGCATTGCTCCCTCTACCACAAAATTCTGTATCAGCCTACTTAATGTTTTCTTTTTAAATTAAAATGAAAATATTTGGGGACAATATTTTCAGACTGACCTCTCTCTTCATCTCCGCAATATGAAGTACAGGCTGTTGTGACACAGGCATGAACATGTATTGTGAGATGTAAAGACCCAATTCCTTAGTTCTTATACTCACATTATAGCAGTTTGTTGGTATGCTAAGTCCAGAACAAAAGGCATAAAACTATGCCACCCTGTATCCAAATTTGTGTTATATTTTATGCCAGGTGAAGCAAAAGACGCCATATGGTGTAAAAATACATCCCTGGGTGTCCATTATGATACCAGGTGCAAATGGAACTTGCCCCAATCAGCTCTCTGTATGGGCAAGCAAGACAAGAAGATCCCTGATCCTAAAAAAAAATCCAACTACCAGAGGAATGTGTCACCTTCCCACGTCAGAAGTGTAGTGACTTGTGCTAACTCACTCTTTTTTTTTTTGCTTTGCTATTTTATCAAAATAATTTATCACAATATATAGATTTTTTTTATCTCTGTCAAAAACTACTTCATTGAATCAAACAATTCAATTCTAGATACATAAACCAATAAAACAAGACAGTTTCAGCCACAACCATAAGTTTGTGAGTGGTTTTAGGAAGCTTCTTCTTGTTTAGTTTATTTAATAAATCTTGCATTAAAAAGCAAAGATAGCAGGCAGCAAGCATGGACTTCCTCTAAATAACAGATAGTATAACAGATTTTTAACAGCAGATGGAGCAATGAATCCCAGGTAATGTATTTTTATACCACCTGGCATCCATCACACAACCTGGTGCAAAATATAGATCTTGTCATCTGTGATGCCATGTGAAGCAATATTACAATATATTTTTTCTTATTTGGTTAGGTAAAATGGTGTAATGTGAGTAAAAGAGCTCGCCATACGTAACGATCATTTAACGCATTCCACTGATATGGACAGAAGGTATTGTGTAAAAGAGACTTATGCCATAATAGATTTTCTAGCTCAACTTCTTGTGTGGCAGTAATGTACCTGTAGATGGACGTAATCATAGTCCTCCATCCAGCCTTCCTCTGTGACCTCATATGGTCTGTCCACTCCTTCCTCCTCCTCTGCAGATGTAAATTTTGGTGGAGAAGGGAGGGGCCGTGACTGAATATGCACTTTCTCCCCTCCCTGGTAGGTTCCACTACCTGATCCTGTCATGTGACCACTAATCTCCCCAGGGATTGGAGGGAGGGGCAGCTGCTGCTGCTGCCGGGTTGTCCTTTTGAAGAGCAGTGAGGCGTTACCGTGAAGAAAGGAGGCCAGCTGTTTGGTGTCATCAGGGATACCTCTCGCTGTTATGATCAGTTGATCTAAGTCATCCCCTCCTGGAGCCGGAGTGGACAGTGCTGTGGGTGACCATGAGATGCTGTCTAAGCTTTGACTGTGCCGAATCAAATTCTGGAAGACCTCCTCCATCTTTCCAACCTGCCGACCCAGTTTGGTCTGCAGCAAGCGGTCTGTGGCCTGGGCAGCATTTGCCACAGCACCTCGAGCAAATTCTAGGAAGTCTCGGACAGTGGCTCGCACCCGGTCAGCAGCCTGATGAATGGCTGTGAGGTTTCCATCCAGGTGAGCAGGGCTCCTCCAGTTGCCTGTGATGAATGACATCATGAGGGAAACACTGGACTCAACAGCCTGCTGTAGGCGAGACAGACGCTCCATGGCTTGATCAAGGTCCAGCATGAGCGGTTTTCCTTGGATGGAGCCGGAGGCAGGAAGTGAGGACGTGTCCCGGACAGGAACCATGTCTAACGAAGAAGCAGAGTGGTTGCTCCGTGTGCTTCCTGTGCTTGACGCAGAGAGGCGCTTAAACGACATGGTCAGCTCCTCAGCATTGGACTGGGCATCACGGACAACCTGGAGAACAACGTGGATGCTGATTACAACTTTCATAAATCATATACATATATTAACAGTAATGGATTTACATTTTGATGAACAACTGATCAAGAAACTGGACTGTTAAATGCCATGAAATGAGTAATAGAAGGACTGGCTGAACTTTTAAAAGTTTATTCCATTTGGATAGTGACTCTCTTACCTACACTAGAGAGCACCTGATGCAGCCTAGATCTGAAATAAGGTAGAATATTTAGGAACAGAGCCAACAGCTTGTCACATTACTCCACTCTACTACATGTCATATATTTAGGCTGCCATGAAACTTCTCAAGCCTCAAACCAAATCAGTAATAATTTACTCATTCTCTACAGCAATGGTTCTCATACTTTCTTTTGATAAATAAATACTACCTTAGATGGAAAGATATTTTAAACTGCAACAGAACTTCAGTTTATAAAGGAAAGTTAGACTTAAGATTCTGAGTGGGAAATGAGAGAATTCTCAGCAACACAAACTTCCAAGCATCTTCATGGCAGCCTGTTATTTAAAGCTGACAGATGAACTCAGAAAAGCCAGAACTCATTCTTTACTTCTGGCGATTTAGTTCTCATTAAATCTTTTACATACACACTACTAATATAAAATTCTCTTTAGCACTCTCAGTCTGTACTGGGAGTTCGTCCCCAATACACTCCTGTTTTAAGTTTCTAATGAAATAAATGTGCTTGATTGGCCATTTTTACTGCTGGTCGTAGTTAGTTGACCCAGAGAGAATTAAGAACCACTATCAGTGGAGATAAACTTTTCTTAGGGCCCAAAAATTAAACTTAAAATATGTAAAATTATAATTATAAAACAATTTTTGTCAGATGTGCGACATTTTAGAGACTAGAACTGCTGTAGAACGGTCTGGTTTTATCCAGATACCGGTGTGGCTACCTCACCGGGTTTATCCAAACCTCTTCCTCTTTTTCAATCTGAGACTGTTAGCAGAGGCGGTTGACAAATCTATTACAATATATACCACAATACACACATCATCAATATCAATAGAAAATACATCCGATAGAATGTTCAATAATTTCACTGAACTCCAAGCCAGCATTCAGGGGGATATGGACAGAGGAAAGGTTTAGCCTCTCGACTGAACTTAATTGTTTCAAGTAAAGTCAAAGTAAAAAGTTCTTTTAAGTTAAAAATCTGTATCTAATAGGTTAATTCCACACAAAAATGTAAGTTAGTCATCACTAAAGTGAGATTTATGTAAATAAGTTCAGAACTACAGTCCAAATAGATTTTTTTTAGAGTGTATAACACTAAATGTCAATAATACAATTTAAGTTTTAGTTTACAACTTAGCAAAATGTGAAAAAGTTCACATGATATATAACAAGGCACTGTAAGATATTAACTACTCACAGACTCTCTACAAAAGCTATGTGTTTGAGCTAAGCTAAAGTAAAACTTCTGAATCTATGCAGTAAAGATAATTTCAACTGTAAGTTAAGAAACTCTGTTAACAGCAACACAAAAATGTTTGAAAAGTATCGACATGTGTTAGAATAACCTGGACACTTCATTACAATGTCTGCATGAAGGTAAAATGGACCACACCTTGAAGCATCCTTACCTGTGGCGGGACATCATAGACATACTGGTCTCCCCTCTCGCTGCCTCGGTCCTCTCGTTCCCGTGGGAAGTCGTACACATCCTGGCTGGGGAGGCCTCCGCCACGCAGGGTGGCTGGGATGTCGTAGATCTCCTGGCTGACTGCAACCCTTTCCCCCCGGTGATGTTTCTCAGTCAGAATAGGAGGTGGAACATCATAAACATCTTCTGGAATGAGCGGCTCATCATCATCACTAACGTTGTTGTGCTGGTATTGGCCAGGACCGGTGGGAACTTGGTGCTTCAATTTGACAAAGTGGGGTGGCACATCATAGGTCTCCTCCCTGATTAACTGACCGTCAGGAACATCTTTACTCATTGAGGGGGGGAAGTTGTACACCTGAAGAGACAGAAGAACCAACATACACTCACATTTTTGGTCCAAACCTCGTATTTAGTGTTCTTTGTGTTCTTGCATGATATCAAAAAATAGAACTGCTCAACACAATGGCTGAGAAATAGAAATGACCGGTAAATACAAATACTTATGCTTAGAAATGCAATATGTTGTGGTTATTTTTCAGGAGGAGCAGTTAATTCATGACAACTAAAGGTCAGCAGCTTCAGGTAATAGTTATATTGTACAGCCCAACAGAGTCTTACAGTTTGCTGGGGATTCTTGTCTGTGGTTGCTGGGGTGTCATATATGTCTTGACCACTAGATGGCCCCTTCACCACCATAGGCGGAGTGTCATACACCTAAAAAAGTGGAAAAGACAAAATTTGTAAATAATTTGTCACAGCGTACATGTAATTGGAACAACACAAAACCACACATTCACAAATGTTCACATTTATCACCTTGTAATGTTTATACATTTTTCAGTCTCTTAGTTCAATGATTATTAGTATCATTAAGCCCATTTCCTCTCTATATGAGCTACACAAAAGATTGTGCTTCTGACTTCCATTTGGGGAGGTTGGGGTGAGAATTAGGACAGATTATCGCTCCAGCATAAACTGAAATAATTCTGGAGTTGACTGGCAAAGTTTGGATAAAACATCCCCACTGATTATTATTACATCTGAGGAATTCCATTTTACACCAACTAATAACATCAACTGCACATAAAATGCACATAAATTATGACTTAGGAAAATATAAGCTCTGAATACCCAAATAGCCAAAGGATGTTCATTCCATGTTGAATTATAGTCAAAAAGGTTGACTTTTTCTACCTGGGATTTTATTATTGGGAGTGCTTTTAAATTAGGCACAATTTGTTGGGAACAGTGGACGGCTTTCTGTACATTTCTCACTTGTCTGTAAATAATATTACTGTTTGTGAACAATGTGATCTCAGGTAGCAAATCATGTAAATTTAATGTTGAATTATGGTCAAAAGGTTGATTTTCGTTTAAGGTTGACGATTGATAGTGGATCAACCATCAAACATCCAGCCAGAGATCATACACAGTCCACCCCTCTGCTGAGAAGAACTCCTCCATGGGGTTCAGGAAGAGAGGAAACAGCAGAATATGTAGAACTGTAAATTGGAATTGCTGCTGAAGTCAGCTGTAGAGCTCAGCATAACAATGAAAAGTTACATTCTCTCAAAAAACAATGTGTCTCATCTGGTCCCTTTAGTTTGAAGCTGTCGCAGAATGAGCTCAGCATTGTAGGACCCCATTCTGTAATACATAAAATAAAAAAGGGTATCATTACCCCATGTTGCCCTGAAACACTGACAGCAGTCATGTGACCAATGACATTTCTTCCTCTTCTTCTCATGTACTCAGGTTAAATCCAGCCTCATAGTAGTCTATAAATCTCTATTAAAGTCAGATTACCTTTTTTATAGTTTGTTAACCTGATTTGTGTGCCCCTCATTATTCTCCTGTGTGCGTATGTGTGTTGCATGTGTGTGCGTGCGTGTGCATGTGTGTGTGTGTATACACAAGTGGTCACTGAGTTTATTCATTTTGGTCACAGGTGTGTTCTTTTGAAAGTCTTTGATCGATTTCAGTGTGAAAAGGATGCCAGTGTGTACAGTGTTTTGCAAAGTGTGTTTATAATTGGGCAAATCTATACTAGATGTTCATAAAAAAAACTGTAATAATAATAGTTATTTATCTGAATCAACTGCTTTTGAGAATGTTTACAAAAACTGAAGTTGTAAAATTGGCTATAATACTTTGATAGGTGGACTTCTGAAGAAAGTACCAATGGGGTTCTACAGCAGCGAACCCCATTGGTTCGTAGTTGAATGGTAGTTGAAAAAGTGAACTGGTATTAGCCAGTTCACCAGAATATCAGCCCATTGAGCCAAACAGTTTTCACTGCAATCACACATAAACACTGACCTGGGTGCTGTACTGCTGGCGGGTGGGTGGAACATCATAAATGTCCTTCTGGGCCGGTGGCTGATGTCTGGGTGGGACGTCATACTCGTCCTTGTCAGCTTTCACTGTGTCGTACACATAAAGCTGTCCCACTCGAGTGGGAACAACCACCTGCACACAGCAGCACAGGGACACAACACAGTTCAGACTCCAAATAAGAAGAATAATAGTGTTTATAATCATACAACCTGCATCAGCCTGAGTCAAAGAAGGACAGAACAACAGGGATGAAAAAAAAATCAAAGTCCAAAATTTATGACACATGAGCAGCATATAATTATGTCACTATGACAACCTGCAAAGGCAACAGCCAAGTCAGAGCAATTCAAATTCAATTCAAATTCAAAATTCTTGATCCCAAAGCGAGATTAAATGTTGTAACATTTAATCTCGCTTGTAATGTTAATTAATTTTCTTCAAAGAGTTATTGTAGATAGTGATAGCTGTTGGCAGGAAAGCTCTCCTGTAGCAGCCTGTATTCCGGTGAATTTGAAGAAGCCTCTAACTGAAGACACTCTGCTTTTCTAAGATAGTGTCATGAAGAGGATGGTCAGCATTGTCCATAATTTTCTTAATTTTATGAAGAATCCTTCTTTGCATAATCATCTCCAGAGGTTCTATAGTTGTCCACAGAACAGAACAGAACCGGAACAGAACCAGAACCAGAGCATGGGTCCAGTCATAGTTGTCGTGGGAACCAGGCTGGTCTATTGTGCTCCTGTTTAAACTGTGTGTTATATGGTTTGAGTGAAGAGTCTTTATCAGGTTGTTGAGCCTTTTTAGGTCCCTGGTTCTGATGCTGATGAATCACTGACATTAGCACAAAACAAATCCTGCAGCCATTTCTCAGTAAAACACAACACTCTGCATTCCCTATATTCTTTCTGAGTCCTTGTCAGGTCTTGAAGTTCATCTGTCTTGTTAGCTAACACTCTCATGCTGCCCATTATGATGGGTGGTAGAGATGGTTTGAACTTTCTCCTTCTTCCTCTTCTCTTTGCTCCTGCTTTCCTTTTAAACTCCTCTGGGATTTCTGCCTTCAGTTGTGGTATTATTTCAGCTGTTCCCTGTTGTAAAACACCTTGTTGTTATGGTTAAACATCATAACAACATAGCAAAGTATGAAAAATAGTGGCAAGCATCTGTCCAACTACACACAGAAGAAATTGTTATCCAAAAGAAAGCAATTTTCCCCTGGGAAGGCAGGTGTGAAGTTTTGAAAAATAAAACAATTCAGTTAAAGTACAAAGTTCCACCAACGTGTTGCCACCCTCAGCAACGCAATTCTAGAATTGAATTATAGTTCCTGAGAGAAAAAAACTTGCACATCTTTGACTATGAAGGGGAATTTATTGTCTTCACACTGAATGAACTGAGACTAAAGGTGTTCTGTCTCATCACAACTCAGGACGGATACAGAAAAAACACAGCCCATAACAAAAGAGCAGGGGTCCAGTCATAGTTGTCGTGGGAACCAGGCTGACCTATTGTGCTCCTGTTTAAACTGTGTGTTATATGGTTTGAGTGAAGAGTCAACCTATCAGCCTCAGCAATCCCAACGTATGACCAAATGGAACCTCACAACATCTTCATGTACGAAGCAGAGAGTCACATTTATTCAGGGAAATCTCAGTGTTCAAGTTCATGTTTCTGCTTCTCCTGTTAGTCTGATGATGCTTCCTAAACCATTAGGAAAATGTATGAAATTATTTAGAAGTTATAGTTATAATTAATTAATCGTAATCAATTGTATTTTTTACTAAATACCAATATTTGACACAATAAACTAAGTTTTTCATTAAGCATTACTAAACTGTTCTCACTAAATCCCTTACCAGATTAACCGAAGAAGGAGACCACCATGTGTATCTAGACCAGGGGAGAAAACTCATGGTCATTTCAGGCCACATCAAGATCAAGAATGTCCTCAATGGGTTGAGGCAGAATGTACTGACAAAACTACCCTATTAACAAACCGTTAAAAAATTAATAAATATCGGTTTCTTCATTCGATGAGAATGTCTTGAAAGGAAAATATTAAACATCTTTTCACTTTGATGATGGCGATATACAAATTTGATTAATAAAATACTTATTAAATACACAACTGTAATACTGAAGGCTCAATTTCTAGAGTTTGAAGTTCAACATAAAATAATCATAATCTTCTTTTCTAAATTCTTTTCTAAGTTCTTTTACTAAATATCAATATATGCTAAAATTAGCACTGCTTAATACTGAAGCGGTCACATCAAATACTGATACTAAATTGTGATTTCAATCATTTTCTCTGTGTTGACCATCACTCATGCACAATATTTATACCTTCTGTGTCAAATAACTCAAAGTAAATCCATGTAAATATAAATTTCCCTGTAAAGAACCAATGTTTTATCATCCACAGCATGTTGATCAGTCCTGACCTTATCCATAACTAAGGCCAATAAATGAGTCCATTCTAAAATGACTAACCATACAACTAGAGAACTGTCAGAAAATTCCATAGTGGAAATATATGTATTCATTTTTTAAAAGGTATTTTTTCTGAAATGAATGACTCAAAATTAATCCTTTTAAGTTCCAGGCCCAATCTAGAAAGCAGAGAGTTGTTCCCTCTCTGTGTCACAAGAACAGTCATCCTGTTTGTCAAAAAGGCTTTCAGCACAATTGGCAGCAGTTGGCTTCAATCCAGATGTCTCCCTTTCTTTTTCTGTCGCACATACACA